TAATACTACTACTCTCTCTCTCTCTCTCTCTCTCTCTCTCTCTCTCTCTCTCTCTTTCTCTCTCACTCCCTGCCCAACAAATAAACTCAAACGAACAACAGTAAAGATGGTGTAAAATGCTTTTGGGCTGACAATTTACCATTCTGAATCAGCAATCATCAACAGACATATGGCATGCTATTTGTGCTGCTGTGAGAGCAGCATGCAGCCTGGCAAATGTTGCTGGGCAAGATGTTGTTGGTTTGGGGTTTGCAGCTACTTGCTCACTTGGTTTGTTATCTTCTTTGCTTTCTTTGCAATATTCTTCACTGATTCATAGAAGGGAGTTGGCTTAAGGGAAAAATATTGCATACACAGGCTATGCATGTTATTGCCAAGACAACCTGTATATGCTTTATTTTCCCTTGGTGTAACTTACTGTGTTACTTTCCCATGGTTTAATTACTCTATTTCTATGGAATCTTTTATATAAATAATTGGGATTACACATTAGGCTTATGTTTGTTCGTTTTGCAGTGGCAGTGGATGCAGACGGCTCTCCTGTCACAGTTTCATTGAGTGGGGATGCTCGGAGAAATGTTATAGTTTGGATGGATCATAGAGCTGTTTCTCAAGCCGAGCAGATAAATTCCAATAAGTCACCTGTTCTCCAGTATTGTGGTGGGGGCATCTCACCTGAAATGCAACCACCAAAGGTACTTTACACACTGTTCCATGGTTTGATTTCCTTCATAAATTATCTAGCTTGATGTTTGTATAGCAAACATTGTTTGCAAAATTCATCCAAAAATGAAAACATCAGTGGCAAAAAGTTTTAGGAATTAATGTGGTTCGAGGGCCTAGTTGAACGACAGTTAATTTATCAGAATTCAGAAGTATAGTATATTATCTAGAATAAATATACTATGCATAATATTGATTTGTTAGTTTTTCGGTTCTTACCCTGTATTATGTGTAATATTATTTAGGTATTGTTGGGATAGATGAGTCTTTCATTCAGTATCTGCCCTAGACAAATAGTGCCAGACAGGATAAAGTTACAAGTACAGTAAAAACAACTTTCCAAAAAGATGAACTTATATGTGAAGCTGCCTATAAGTTCATCTCATATAATTTTATGATGGACACTACAAAAGAACAGATAACTCTTATCATGATTGTTTCTATTGGAAATTTGGAATGGTGAATCATCGGTGATAACAAGTATATCCAAACATGCCCCAAGTCTTCATGTACTGTTTTGAGTAGTGTTCTTCTCAATTAGGTAATTTGTGGGGCCCACCATGTTTATCTTCAGTGTTCAATGCATGAGGTTGGCCTCTTGAAACATTCACAAGAACACAGTAGTATGGTATCTGAGAAAATGACCTGGGCCCTCGCATGGTGATCCATGTGGTTTGTATAATCTATGAACAACCCCCACAATAAATTGTCCTTTCTTTGGGAGCTAGGTCAATGCAGATGATCTTCCTTTGGTCTTTTGAATCTTTGCTCAAGGTGCTCTGGTTAACCGGTAAAGGCGAGTCAACTATATGTGGAGCTTTGTTGGTCTTTTTAAAGAGCATGTTATGCATCGGAAAATGAGTATTTGCATTAAATTTATCAGAATGACCTTGTATGGAGATACTAGCTTCTTTTTGAAAGAGTAGGCCGCCTCAATCATGCTGATTGAAGCCCTTGCTGCAGCATTGGTCTATTAGTTGAGAAGTTCCTTTCTTAAATGTTTCTTCGACTCTTTTCCTTTTTACTTTTAACAGTATCGATGGCCTTAATCAAGAAATCTACCAGCGGCCCAAGTTAGCTTCTAAAGTTGTAGAGTATGTTTCTATTAGATAAATCTGGAGTATTAGGTTTCTTTAGTTAAGTAAGAAAATAGCTTTAGGGAATATTTTAGGTAGATGGGTACTGGGTATTGACTGATATATGTTGTGTCATTTTTTTTTTTTATAGTTTTACTTCTTTCAATATATAAAGGAACTCTGGTAGTTTATAATCGGAGTACTTGATTTTTCTCACAGAAGAAAAAAAAAAGAAATCTGATTCTTTATAATCTACAAAGGTTTGTAAGAAGTGAGAACAACCATCATCTCATAGTGGATCATTCAGAATATCTAATTCTAATAATTTAAACAAAATCTACAAAATACTATATAAATTAATGAATGTTCCCTAGCCAGCTTATATTAAACATGCATGGTTAGTTATTGTAACTAGTAAATCATACTTTATAAAGGCCACGGCATTTATAACTCCTAGGACTCATTCTAGAAATATGTCCCCTCTTTATGATTCATTTTTTACGTGGATTTTGGACGTAAGTTTCTAGGTATATATAATCTCTAACATGGTGATCATTAATGTGTGAAGAAAAATAAATTTTAATAACTAAAAGTGATAATTTTTTGAAGAAAAATTTTAGACCATTGGTTTTTATCTTTTTGGAGGAACCACCACTCAACATTCATCTTTAGGATGGATGTACGATGCCTTGGGGGATACAAATGCAGTTATGCGTCCTCCGACACTTAAAGCACTTTTCCCTTTATAAATTTGTTCATAAAGCATATGAGCTATAGAGCACCTAAAAAAATTAAATTACAAAGGATTATAATTTATAATTGAGACTGAGGTGATAAACTATGAAATATGGATCTCATGAACTTAGAAGGCTGCATAGTTGCTAAGATCTCCGAACCTAGGTGGGGACCCCATTCCGGAATCTTGTTTTGGCACTCTAGGAAAATGATCTTCTAGGGATCTTGATTTTTGAATTTTGGGATCTCGATCCGCTGTTAGGGATTGGTCCTCACCCTAGAGACCAAGTTAACACCCAAACATATGGTTTTCTTTATTTAGCAAGCTAGCAATACAAGTATACTTTTAATATAGTTGCATTGCTTTTTTGTTATAAATAAAGAGATCCCTATTTTAAAGAGTGTGTATGTAACAATTCTAAACTTTCAAAAAAAAAAAAAAAAATCTTTATAGTATGATGGTTCATATAGGCATTATGGTCCTTAGGGACCATCACTACTTTTATATCTTTTTACCCTTCACTTTTCTTATCATCTGCCACGTCCTTTAGTGGACGTGGGTTGTAAACATTAGAAGCTTATTATTAATGCTACACCTCATGTATGAGGTGGAGGTGTTTTAAAGAATTTAAATAGGACGAAAGGTAAGACGTCACCTAACAACTCCTTTCTCGCTCTCCCTCTTACAAACGCAGTGAGCTCCTCTCTTTAGCCGAATTTTTTTTTATTGAAAGCTGCCTCTCAAATATTATAGGTAAGTGACTTCATTGTCTTGAAGAATAATTCGTTTTTTTTTAAAATGAAATAATTATTTCTGTCTATTATCACGAATTTTAGGCAAGGTAAATTTTATGTGTAAGTGACCTCATTGTCTCGAAAAATAATCTTTTTAATAAAATTGTGATATTTTATCTATGTTAGAAATTTTAAATGCTGTAAATTCTTAGAAATAAATTTATTTATTTTTCTTGCCTATTGTTAGAAAATTTTAGATACTGTAAAATTATTTGAAATAAATTAGTAAAATTGTGAGATTTCTTTCTACTGTTTTTGAATATTTAGACATTGTAAAATTCATGTGCAAATGATTGCCTTATTATTTGAAAATTGATAGTTTTGCAATTAATTATAGCATTGTCTGTGAAATGTTTATTTGCGAATTGACATCCCATAAATTGTGATAATTCCGTATTCTTGAATTTCTATAAGAGTTTTTCTATGCATATTAGATTGGCAATTATGCTAGAATGTCTTTACGAACTGCTATCTTTCTAAAATTGAGCCCAAAATATTTGATTGGTTATTTTTGAAATGTTATTGAAAGTGACTGTTATTAATGGTTTTTCCGAAATTCATATTAATAATGTCAGTGATATGTTGAGTACATGATATTGCTGCTTTCGAATGTTTAAAGAGATTTAAAAATACTTTAAGTATGCAAGTGGACTCATCCGGTTCGTCGGTGAGGTATAAGTGGACCTATCCGGTACGCCGATAGGGATTAAGTGGACTCATTCGGTATGCCGGTGAGGTATAAGTGGACCTGTCGGGATTAAGAAGACCTATTTGGGACGTCGATAGGGATTAAGTGGACCCATCAGGACACTGATGGGGTATGTAGGTGACCTACTTGGGACGCCAGTAGGGTAATTTGTGAAATCCTTGAATTATGCACTGTCGTTAAAATATTATATGCATTTCAATTATTCGGATTATACTTAATTATACATTTTTGAAAGTGAAACTGTTGATGCATTTTTGTTAATAGATCTCCTTTTTGAAAATATTGATATCTTTCAACCAGTAGGGTAATTTGTGAAATCGTTTGAATTATGCACTGCCGTTAAAATATTATATGCATTTCAATTATTCGGATTATACTTAATTATGCATTTTTGAAAGTGAAACTGTTGATACATTTCTGTTAATAGATCTCCTTTTTTAAAATATTGATATCTTTCAACCATGATTAATTTTAGGATTATGATGATCACTTACTGAGTAGCCAAACTCATCAAACTATGGTAAACATTTTTTTTCAGGATAACTGTGGTTTCATATTGAGTG